TGGAGACAAATTCAGATCTGTTTGTTAAATAGGATCGGAACCACTCACATCTTATCCACCACATCTTATCTACCATAAACGACAACAAGTATCTCCTGCTGTTCTGTAGAGACTGTTTTCAACACCATAAAGTTTGAATTTTCATGAAATTAATTGGATATGGATAAATTAYGCATGGAGCTGTTTTAGCAAGCAGAGCGGAATATCCAACTACAACTTTAGTTTATAATCTTAGCATAGGAAATGTGTGTTTGAGAGATTTTTCTTTATTTTAACAATAATTTTGGCAATAAATCTTATAGTGTTAGAAAGTTGGTTAATTTCCATATTTGTAAGGAACATGCATTTGTGGGATGAGCAGTAGAGCTATGTGAGTCGCATACATGAAAAAAATTGCCAAATCTTCTCTGTCGAACGGCTTGTGTTGCTGTTGTTATTGACATCAGGTGCTAGAAGGCATCCCAGTTGTTTAAGCCAGGAAGCATTGTTAAACAGAAATAATCTAACAAACACACATTTCATTATTGTTAAAGCTAAGCATATTACATACACTCTGTGAGACTATTATCACTATAAAGGTCATACATAAGGTTTGCATTGAGAGTTCTTGTGTGATCTGTTGGTGCTCAAAGTATGTTCTGGGGATGACTCTCAGCTACTACTAGCCCTACTTTTAACTCAATTACATGTAAAAGTGACAGTTACAGGCATTTCTTCTTCTTCTTCTTCTTTTTTGCTAAGATCTGTTAGCAGTTTTTAAAAAGTGACAGTGACATAAAATTTTGATAATTAATATAAATGCATTTTTTGGAATACATCACAAATTGCAAAAGGATTTTACACCACTGAATGAGACCAGAGTGTTACTACAGCAACAAACAGCAGACTGTAAAGACGAAAAGATGTTTTCAGTCACTATTGAACAGAGATGAAGAGTCAGAGTTCAAATGATAGAAAACTCCAGGGAGTTCCATTTCTTTAAGAGTTTCACTTTGATGTCATTTCCTGTTTCTATTTGGCTGAGCCAAGTTCAAAAGAAAATCTTTCAGTTATGTGACAAAATGGGTAAAATTGTGTGTATTATGTCAAGTTTCTTAAATATTAACGAGTTTTCTTTGACTTTTTGTATTTTAAGGATATGCATGTCACTTTAAATCATATCAACTCTAAGTTTAAAATGTCTAGAAGACTAGTGTGTTATTATTTTATATTTGGATCTGTCCAATATAAGAGAAAATGTTCCTAATTATTCTCAGTGATACACGAGTGAAATGCATTGTTAAAAACAAACTTCAAAATTTTATTTTAAAACTGAAGTATTTGAAAGCACATACACCAGTACTTTAAGTAATTTGACAGAAATACTTTTACTTTTATTTGAGTTATATTTGATCAATAGCATCCGTACTTTGACTCAAGTAAGCTAAGTACTTTGTACACTGCAAATACACACACACACACACACACACACACACACACACAC